AGAGAGAAAGAGAGAGAGAGAGAGAGAGAAAGAGAGATATTTAGGGAGAGCATCAGACTGGGAGGGCCAGAGTCAAGATCAAAGATGCTGCGATTTACAGCGTTAAGTTTCTCTGGATTCAATAAAATGATGAGGAATTTGACACTCTTGGATCTCGGCATGGTACTGGTTATCAGGGATAATCAACACCTTCGTCGCCATCTTGAAAGAAAGAAAAAAAAACACAACAAGTTTCTAGCCCTCGGCAGCAAGTGTGGATTCCACTGCTAGATTTCCATGGAGATACTTGCCTGGTGAAACGTCAATTCTCTACCAAATTTGACCCCATTTCTTGTTGTTCGATAACTTTCTGAAGAGATGTCGATCTAGATGGCATTGTAGCTTTGCATTATGATAATTCTTGGAAAAGCTGTTTGACGATAGTGTCTTATATGGATAACCTTTAATTTTGGAGGTAGCCGACGATTACTGATATTCCAGTAGAGTTTGTGATAATGTTCAGTTACCAGGTCTTATTGAAGAAACATCAAGGTCAAAGCAACGTACATGTTGAAGTCTTCAAAAGATCACAGATCCACTAGCAGGCCCAGGAGAGGGCTAATAGGATGCACATTGTATAGAGGATAAGCAGGCGAAACGACCCTTTAAATACGGCTTGAAATAGAGAGCAAAATGTCATGGCTATATATATACGAACATACTCCGTAGGTGATAGTGTATTCTCAATATATAGCTGTTAAGATGTTTGTCACCTTGCATTAACTGAATGCTTACGTGTCTTACCTATCCCGGTTGGATTCCGTACATATAGTACCAAGACGACTACCCCCTGGACAATCTCGCTTTCCCCGTACAACTATACCGCGAACCGATTCCGCTATCGTGGCACGGCAGTTCTGTAGAGGGGATGGGGGGGGGGGGGGGGGGGGGGGGCTTTCATCATTATTATGCATCTAACCACTTTATAGGTTTATTTTTGTGCAGCTGAGCGTAAGATTAGAATATTTTGTGTAAATATGAATTTATACCTTTAGCTCAGAGAGGTGGACGCTTTGACCGTGACCGATTTACAAACCACTATTTCCTGGAAAACCCTGCTACGTTCTCCAAGGTATTTTGTTTTACACAGTCCGACATGGGCTTAAATGGTATATGAAATAGGCAGCAACTGTCATCAAGGTCCTTTTAACATCATAAATGCGCAATAGAAAAGTGTTAACATAAATGAAACAATGCGCATCACGATTGCAAAGACTTTCGAAACATAAACTTAAGGCAAGTTGAAACCCTGTCCATCACCTTTTGCAATGTGACATAATTATAACTCAAATAAGATTTATATCGGGAATATAGTAAATGCCCCATGAGTTGATTGTTTCGAAAGTCTCCGCGATCGTGATGCGCATTGTTACATTTATGTCGACAATTTTCCTAAAAATTAATTCTTTAAATTTATATGAAAAGAGAGAAAAAATCTAATCTTATTATCGTACATCTGCATTTTTTTTTTGTGCTGCTTTTCTACCTTGAGGTTATTATCACAGTCAAGCTGTTCGACTACTCAGGTAGCTCACCATGACTGCGGGAGCCAAGGCCAATGTCTATCCGGTGACGGGGGTGACCAGTGGCGTAGCGTTGGCTCATCCACTGAAAGGGCACTCGGATTATTAGGGGGGCGGAGGGCACTGTTATGTTTGGCGATTCGGCCGCCGATTATACGAGGTTGCGAGAGGGGATCATATCATCTTCTGTTTTCTTCCTTTCCTTCTCTCTCTCTCTCTCTCTCTCTCTCTCTTTGTCCCTCCTCTCCCCTCTCTTTTTTCTTTTATTTTGCAATTTGATTGGAAGGGGCAGGTGCCCCCTAGCTGTTCTCCCCTCGTAGCTACGCCACTGCTGGTGACCATTATATAGTCTTTACTAACAAATACACAACGTGTTGGTTTACAGTCCTTGATTGACAGGTATCTATCTATGTCTTTTTTGTCAAAATGCCTTGAAAATAAGGTTATCCTGCGAGATCGACATGGATAAAAAGTTCACTCAAACGACAGCCCACGATACCGACAAAATAAAGGAATACGTAAGAAATATAAGAATGACGAATATTATAAACCCTGAAAGTATTTTCTTTCTGATTGTAAATGTTTTTAAAGGGTTCATTATTATACATGTACTTGCGTTCCAACTCGTGAATTTCTCCTTCGTATAATGACATTCCAGTTCCGAACTTAGCTTGACCTAATTTGGAGGGCAGAAGGGAAAGAGGGGTGGGGATCTTCTCAACAAATCTGTGTAAACAAAGTGAGAGAGAGGTTACATTCACAAATTTTCACATGTCAATAGGAATGTTTACTTTGTATCTATAGTACGACAGACATAATGGGATAATTTGGGAATTTGCCAAAGTAATCTACATACCGACAAAAGTTTATAAACTTTAAAAGAATCTACCATTACGTTATATTAAAGCCTAGAATATCAAATATGATGAATTGAAGGAAGGTAACCTAGGCAGAAGAATAAAAGAACCATATTTGTTTGTAGAGAAAGTAAGATCGAGCTTACAGACGTAGAATTTAGATTTGCAATAATTTTTATTGCCAACATGTCCCTCAAGATGTTTTAAATGCCAATCAAAAATGTTCTCCCATGCAGTTGTTGTCATGAACGGTCTCATCATAGAACATTTGTGAGAACTTTTCAAGACGACTCGGGGTTGAGACCCCTGTGGGAGACATACAACATGTTGTTCACGAGCTGAGATGGTCGCAAACCTTTATTGAATACCTTTAAAATATTCTATGGATGCAGTTAAATTCATTCATTTTTGTCACATTATTTAAACAATTGAATAAGAAACTGTTACATTTTAGAGATGAAATTCATTGCCGCTATATTTTATATATTTCTCGCCATGACGTTGTTGCCGTCTGTACTGCAAGTTTGTGTTTTAGCTACGTCCGTCGGCAGTAATTCATCATCGTTTTGTGTTTTCCTTCCTATGAGCCGTTTTTGTTTATATTCTGTTGAATGATATTATCTTTCCACGAATCCTTTAACAAGGTTCTACATTGTTAAAACCTGCCAAATGAAAGGAATTTTGAGTAATAATTGACCTTTGAAAGGTCACAAGTCTTAATTTCACCAACAAACAGCTCTGGAGAAGAAAAAAAAAAATCTATATTGGAATGAAGCGACTGACACATTAGTTTTCCAAATGTCTGGTGTTTGTGCCGCTATTCAGGAAAGCGGAAATAATTCATTTAAAACAGTCACTTCGTAAAATCAAAAAGTCCATTGTCATACAAACACATGTGACTCGTAGCCAGGTCCCCATAATTGAATGATATCATGTTGTTATACATATTCCAAACCTCTGTGATGATTTAGCAACTTCCGAAGTACTCGGTCTTTGTCACGAATCTGTCATTTTAGATCAATAATATTTATATAGCGCAGCTACTCTATGAAGATATTCTACTGCGCTGTGATGAAAACGAAACTCCTAATAGTGCCTTCTTTATAGACACACAATGAAAAAAAACTATTCAAAAGCTCTTGAAAGAAGTGCGTCCTCAACAAAACTTTGAAGACAGCCGCATGAGGCTTTTCTTGTGTCTGATGGTATAGGTTTTTTTCAAAGCTTTGGAGCGGCGCAACTGAGAGCGCAATCTTTAAAATAGTTCATAGCATTGTCATTAGTAAACATCTCGTCAATCATTGTATTAAACCACCTCCCCATCTCTCCTTCTTTCAAATGATACTAACTTGATGCATATTTATATCAAAAGAAAAATACATGTAGTTTACAATTGATTAGACATTGGTTACGGGAATGCCTGATTGAATCCCATTCTTCAAGTTTGAAACTTCAGTTGATTTTGAAGAATAAAATACAGGTGGGAAGAGCCTTGGAAAACTCTAGAGAATATTATTGTGGAGTAAAACTTGTCATTATAAAAACTGTATGGGGACCCGTATACAAAAAGCTTAGCAATTAATATAATCAATGTAAAATTGATTTTTGTGATTGATTGCATTTATATTTAAGCGCAAAATATCGCAAAAATCAATCGTGCAATCAATTGCTAAGGTTTGTGTTGAGGGACCCAAATAGCTTTATGACAGAGTTTAAGTAAAAAACACAGGATACCAAAATGTGGTATTTTCTAGGCCGTTAGTTTTTCAAGACGTGTGGTCGATAAAGCAGGGACATGGTGGGTTCGTGCTTTTTATTGTGAAATCCTTATCTTGGGTAATTTATGTCACCCTTCCTTGCTATCTTTCATTAATATAACCATGAACTTAGGTTCATGATATAACTAACGGTTTCTTAAACTGTTGGCGTCATGCTTAAGGTGTCTGGGGTAAGGCGCCAGTTAGTTCGGAACTTGTTATATAACTGCAGACGAGCAAAAATCAGTTGCTCGAATTCTAAAATTTGTGTAATCGAATCCATCCGTCCCTTCTTCCTGGATAGGGGGACTAATTGTATGTTTGAATATACGGGCTGCGTTTGTTTCTATCCTTGATAATTATTACGATAAAGAATAATGAATTAATTTGTCTTAGATCAATGAGCTTCCGCCTTACGTAGTTAGTAATCTTAAATCTTGCAAGCAAGGTTCTTCTATGTGTTGATATACAGGCCTACAACTCATCCTTATTTCATTTAAAGAAATTTCAAGATATTACATAAAAATACCCATGTTCTCTGCTAGGAGAATAGGAATGTTTTTCCACCCTATATGGATAGGTTTAGAATCAAAGTCTCAATCAATCTGATTGCAAAGAAACATATAGGTCCACTTTTGTGATGAGTGTTGTTGTGTCTCTGAGATCAATCAACCTCCATGTTAAAAGAAGGGGTTCTCTTGTCTTACCCTCTTTAACGTGTACGGACTGTCCACCCTATGTTTAAAGAGTTCACACGTATATTAAAGTATGCGTATCCTGCTGGTTTATTTTGGAAAAGTTTTGTAATTTTATGTATTACACAGATTGCGTTCGAATCCCCCTCTTTGCCACCCTTCGTCACCTTCAACACGAGATCGACAACCTTAAGGCGGAAGTGGTCGTCCTACGCCAGACACAGGATCAATGTCACCCTACAGAAGCTCCTCCTACAGATGTTGGAAAGAATAAAGACGGTAGGCCTTATGTTGAATGTGCATGCACCGAACTCTTGAGATCAGCATGGAATGTGTTTGCAAACGAAGAATCAAGAACCAAAGCACCCTCCTTCTCGCCTGTTATCTGTCGTACGTTCTTCTTCTAAAGCTCGCTCGCTGTGACCATGCTAGCTGTGATGTGGCTATTCCTAACCTGTGTGATCCCGAAAATGCTCCTGCAACATTGTGTGAAATGAAGCTTAAACTTGCTAGAAAGCTGAATAGATGTTCATTTGCACCGAAGTCACCAAACCATAGTCAGTTGAAGTTCGTGGCACTGCTTGTAATGCCCTTCCAACACCTGCACATGCATCCCGTCATACAACTGCATCTGTCATTGTTGATCTCGGTTGCATTTAGTCTAATTTTCTTGTAATGATTGAGGCGCATAATAAACATGAATATCATACTGCCGACTTTAACTTGTGGCATCTATAATCATGGACCTCGTAGTAGGTCCATGCTATTATTATCCTGCTCTTTTCTGCTACTTTTGACATAATCATCCTTGTCAGAATAGGAGCGTTTGACATCCTTTTGCTCCAAAGGTTCGTTATTCTAAAAGCTCTTTGATCGGAAGGACCATTGCTTTGAACATTCTTTATTCAGTAGGTTTGTTCTCCCAAAGGCTGGTTATTCCGGAAGTTCATTTTGCCAAAGATTCGTTTTCCGATGGTTTGTTATTCCAAACGTACGGAAGGCTCGTTGTTCCGAAGAATCCTTATGAAGGATGGTTCTTCCGAAGGTTATTCTAAAAGTTTGTTTTATTGCCGTCATTCTTATTAAGGTTATTCTAAAGATTCCTTAAACTTTAAGGTAATACGAAGTTTACGGTAATATTTCAATATGATTGGATTATGAAATTTAAAATTTGCATTACCATTGTGAAACCTAGTGTTAGAATAAGCAACTTTGTTAAAATTGGGCTCTAAAACGCTAAGGATTTCGAGAAATTAAAATATCAACATAAAGAGTTTATTATTGACAATTTCATCACTTTTGACTCGATTTCAACCGCGACAACGATCATTGAATATTGTAGGATCGCATATGCTTCCAATGTTCATTTTAACCAAATTCATGACCCCATACCAAAACTTTTAATCTGCAAGTTCATTGAATCTAAACACAAACACAACATCTTCTACATGTTATCAATCGAAAAAGTAATAAGGGTAATTTTGTCTCAATAATCCAAATTATATCTTCTAAATCTTAGAAAAAACAACATAGTTACTCTCCGGATCACGAACGTTTTAAGTAACTCATCCATTAAAAATGTCGGTACATGTAAAATGTTGTCGCCTTTTATATATTCGTAAAAATTGCCCACATTTATATGTTTAAATGAAATAGAATTTTCGCCAGACTCGCAAATTGACATGAGATACTTGCAGACTTGTACTACGACAAGGCCTACTAGACGACTACTTCTGTTCGAGTTTTCGTTCGAAATGATGAAACATGCGTTTCATTATACGCCGTGCCAACTACACAAAAGGGTAATATCTTATGGTATACCGTAAATTCCGGTACTTTGAACGCGAAAGGACGACGCTCCTTATATCTATCGTTAGATGGTATCCGCTTTGAGCTTTACCTACCTTTGCCTACCTGATATGGACACAAATAAATTAAATGCAAGAAGTCTTGCATTTAATTGATTTGTGTTCATTTCACTGCATCAACACTTCTCTTTATTTCCACACCATTCCAAAAAGACAAACACCCAATTAACCCGCATCCAAGATCTCAACATACGCACCTTGATTGTAACCATGGCAACAACGCAATGCCCATACACCTGACAGTCTCTCTGAAGAAAAGCTGTGGACAACTACTTGTACTTCTAATATTCCAAGCGACTCCCAAAGAATGATCAATCATTATTTTCATGCCTCTTCCTGTCAGTGAAAAGGTATATTATTTGAGCACATATTGGAATGAACTTTGAACAATTCAACTCCTCCTCCTTCAGTTTCACTAAGGTGTGAAGTGGCTCTACACTTGATTTATGTGCTCTACAAAACAAAACAAATGTGATATTTGATTACCATGTCATATACCAGAGCAAGTTTAGTGCATAAGAGTTTTGCTTATATTTGTAGTATGTACTGTGTTTTCGAGAAATGGAGTAATTTCCTAATTAGAATTCTAAATTGCAACCTTGTGATCACTTGTAATGCAATTACTGCATGTTAATTAAATCGGAAAATCTCTCGACCGCAAAGAACAAGGTCTTTAATCACCGAAATTATTTATTTAAGTCGGATTATCATGCATGATTAACAAATATATCTGAAAAATAAAAATATGTAAAAGTGCTGCACCTGGTGCTCCATATAGTGTGCGATTGCTGTTCGTTCAACTTTCGTTCACTTTATGTATACAAGCTTGGTAGCGATGAAGCAATATATGAACACGCCTAAAAGGGCAAATTATGTTTTTATTGAATAAAATCACAAAAAATGTAAAACATTGCAATTGATATATTAAAGATGATATGTGTGAAATGATGTTATTACCTATAAAATAATGACATCATTTAGCACTTATACGTTGAAATAAATATGATTTTCAAACTTCAAACACCAAAATATACAATCAATCGACACATTAAATATAAATCCCGATGATCGACGGCTTGGTCGTCCCAAGAAAAATAGGTTACGAAATTATACACTCAATTTTAAGAAGGTTAATGTCATCTGTGGATTGTGAAAACTTTCTTCCTTTGATTGTTTAGTTTTAAGAAGTTTTCAATTTCTTAAGTTTTAAACCGTAATTACAGTGAAACTCGTTTAATGACCACTGGCCTATTAAGACAGCATTTTTTTGTTTCAATTGAACAGTGTTTCTACTACCTGTAAACAAATTTTACACAAAGGCTACATATTCATACAGGAGAAAATCAAGGATTTTGTACAAATGCAAAAGGAGGAGCACGATTTTGAAATCTGAATAAAACCCCCACCTCAATTAAGCGGCCAATCTTTACAATCTATACATTGTGTGTACCTTGAACGGTCTAAATTTACAGCTTTCATAGTATTAATATTCATATTTTTACTTTCCCCTCTTTTTGCACCCTCCCTCCCTGCTCCTTTAACAGCGGCTGTTACGGTAAACTTCGCCTCATGTCGGCTGACAAAGAGCGAGAACGGAGAGGTTGTGGGCAGAGTCGATCTTCGAGAACAGGTGCGTATATACTAACCACCAGCAAAATTGAATCATGACTTTTTACTCTGACACTAACGGTAAGGTGAGTGTGAATGCACTGTAAACACAATGATTATGTTGGGGACTGTGATTTCCGCTAAAATTATTTGTGGCATTGCTAGCTTCCAATGGTTCCAAGTAAAGCATATGCTACTGATTTTAACCGCATTGTAAATCAAATTTTGCTGAGAAGTCGATGTTTGGAAGAAAAATAACTTTTTGTCTTTTTCCTGCAATTCGATCCTTCTAGTCCTCAAAGAAAATAATTCATGCAAGTCGCCACTCGTATTTTCTAATTGTGTGTGAGCTCTAAAACACATACCATGTTTCTTCAGAGAACAAACCAAAAGTCATTGACTTATTCCAAAAGTTTGTTATTAAAATAAGTCTTTTTTTTCTGGTATAACAAACTTTTGGAATAAGTCAATGACTTTTGGTTTGTTCTCTGAAGAAACATGGTATGTGTTTTAGAGCTCACACACAATTAGAAAATACGAGTGACGACTTGCATGAATTACAATCATAACTTAGTTTTGACTAATCTCCAGCATTCAACATTATAACGTGATTCATTTCAGCATCAATTCATTTAAAAAAATAATTTGTAATGTTTTTGATCAGGGGAAAATGAAAGAAAGACAAGATCACGTAAATCTATAACTGAATGAGATTATATTTGAAAATATGAAAAGTGAAGCAATCCTTATAAAATAGACTAGTGTTTCTATGCTGGATAAAAAATTAAAGGGTAAAGTGAACAAAACCATGCGTCTAGATGATTTCGAAAAGGGCTCATTTAAAAAAAAATTAAAAAAAAAAATCATTATTTAATTATTCTTACATGCACCTCATCATCTCCATTCTGTCTGTTTCAGAGTGATACGAACGTACTTCAGCTCCGTCTGCAGGTTGATGGTGCGAAGCTCACTTTGGCGGCAAACAGCAAACATGGATTTCATGTGCACACCTATGGCAACATCAGTGGTTCATGCTCAACCACCGGAGGACATTACAACCCTGATGGCGTAGATCACGCCAGCCCAACTTCAGCACAGAGGTAATCAAATCAACAATTTTCTCATTTCCAGTTAAAAAGATGTTTCGTTGTAAGGGTAGGCTGCATCACTGAAGCTTAAGTAAAGACTTGAGATTGACCTAAATGTTCGTGTATAGCGTATACAGAAGTTTTGTTTAAAGAGAGGGCATATTATTCATAAACTTCGTTGACACCCCCCCCCCCCCCCCACAACAAAAATTTAAAAAATAAAAAAATCGGAGCCTAGTTCGCTCCAAAATTCTCTGACAAACAGAACAAAATGAAATTGAATAAAATTAGAGGTCATCATTTTAAGGAGGGGCACATTTCTGGACTTGTTTACTACTAAGCCACTTGTGCCCCCTAAATGCTCGGTGAGAGCAGTGATATGCATGCTCAACAATTTTCTCGAACAGGTCCGCAGACTTGGACGTGGCTCTTCAATAGTGGGCGTGGTATCTTCGATTCAATTTGACCGTTTGTGGTTGAGGATAAACGATGAGTGTTCTGTATCTTGTTGGCGACTTTAGTTTTCTTTTACATAACAAGTTTTTTTGTATGTGATCTTCCTTGAAGATAGAGATTGGGGGGTAGACAGACAGAGGCAGGTACAAAGCCAAAGGGGGACTGGAAAGACGTGGACTACAGAGAGAGGAGGAAGAAGGCGATCATGTTCAGTGAAACCAGAGATTATTCAGTCCAAGAATCTTCATTAAAAAAGAGACTGAATATAAAAACCACATTATTTATTTGTTTTCTTCCTGGTATTTATTTTTTTGGGTGTTGTTCATACAGGCATGTTGGCGACCTAGGTAATGTTCAAGCGGACGCCTCAGGGAATATCGATGTGAGTTTCAACGATACTTATGCATCGCTGACAGGAACAAAGGCTATCATGGGACGAGCATTCGTGGTAAGGTGTTTACTTCTTTTAATATGAATACGAACGACAGAGAAAACAAAGACGATGTAGAAAGAGAGAGAGAGTGAGGGAGGGAGGGAGGAAGAGAGAGAGAGAGAGAGAGAGAGTTCGAGCGAGAAAGGGGGTAAAGTAGAAGATGTGGGGTGCTGAACTGACAGGTGGAGGGGGAATGGGTTGTCGATAAATATAAGTTGGGGGAGGGGGGGATCGAGCCAAATAGCCTCACCCTATCAAGAAAGCTGAAATTTGGTCAAGTTTAATGGCTGAACGATGTGATAAAGGGACACGGTCATACACCCCGGGCCAAAACCCTGTGCTTTGACTTACCAATGTTCATCCACATCTGGGTTGAAATCGAATTTCCCTACGCCAACTAGACATTATTGTTATTGTTGTTGTTGTTATTGTTGTTAATGTTAATGCTAAGAAAAGATTTTGACATTTTTTGACAATTTATGCCTGTGAAAATATATGAAATATTTTAGTTATCAGATACTTTGTCACATACCTTTGCCCACGACTCCCCCCCCCCCCCCAAAAAAAGGTCCCGAATCCGCTGCTGGGCATGACTTTGTAGGAGCCAATTCTCGGTGTTGATTATACACTTTTTATTTTATTTTATTTTAGCATTCTTAATTTTGTTTTATCCATTAGTGCACTGCAGAGCTATATCAAATCGTATTTTGAAATAAAATTCTTTCTCGCTCTTTTCGTCAGCTTCATGGAGGAGAAGACGATATTGGCCTGGGAGGTAACGCTGGCAGTCTGGCGAGCGGCAACGCCGGACCTCGATTGGCTTGCTGCGTCATCGGCTGGGCTACTGGCACAGATTGGGTTTACTAAGTAATTATTGTTCTTTAATTACAAAGATATCTCTAAAATTCACCCATGCGTACATTTTTATTACTCTTTTGCACATTTTCTACGATTTTTTGATATCGACACATTATTATGATTTGGTGTCAGATAAAACAACTGAGTACCAATCCTGTGACAGAATGTTACGATTTTTTTGGTCGAATATGGAACATGCTTGTCAAGTGTTGTAATGTACTCAGGGGCGGACTGGGACTACAATGCGGTTGAGGAAATTTCGAAGCAAACGGCCCACTCAACATATCAGCCGGCCCTCAGACCACAAATCGACCTACCCTCAAGCCAAAATATTGAGTGGGCCCATGGGGGGAGGGGAGGGGGGGGGGGGGGGGGACTCCTCCAGCTCTCAATGGCCAGTCCGGTCTGTGTAATGATCAGAGAAAAAAAATATGGTGATCTGGGGTCTTTTGAATTTTACCTTTGTTACGTAAGTTATCGTCAAAATTTAGGAAATTAAAATTACTGAAGAACAGGTTAGTAAAAACAAATAAAATACAAAGATGTGTGAGGTTAATTTTGCCATCGCATGGATGGTCTTTCTCATCATGTCCGTCGGACCAATACGATTTGATAAATTCCAATTATATTTCACTTCTAATTGTACATGGTGTTTTAATATTCTGTTAAAAACTGTATTACATGTGTTTAATTTACTATGTTATTTATAATATATCATGTATAAGTATATTTTATTGTATAAACAAGTAGGACCTATATTGCTGTTATTTCCATGCAACTGTCGAATCATTAATGTAGTATGCTGCATGCTATGTTTCATGTCTCATCAATGATATAAGTCGAAATTTCTGTTATGAATAGTCATCATTCTAAACCTTTAATTTTAAGCATAATATAACAATTTCTTATGTGAAAAATAAAAACTTGAAAAAATAAAAATTAGATTGGTACAACAAGTGCTTAAACAACATTGGCAAGAAACCACTCAAAAAACAACAATACGAAAATAGATAACCTGTCAGTACAAATTGAATTCAATTGACCAAAAGGTTTGTTGTACCAAAAGAGAGAAATACACTGCAGTTAAAAACTGATCTTATTTCTCAAAGATTGAACAAAATTAATCACATCATATTATTCAAATTTATCTAGATAAAAATGTAACAAAACATTGTAAGGACGACCCATTTGTGACTTGAATTGAATAAAAAGAGAAAAATTATGCAAAAAAACAAAGTGAGTGCTTCATCAACATCGGACGGAAGAGGGACAGTTATGGAGCTATAAAGTTTTGCATAATATCATGAAACACTGAAATGTATCACATAAGCTCTATATAAATTAGCAAGATGACGATGTCATCCCCTCACTTTTCTCTATCTGTTTTGTACACAAATGCAGCAAAAATATTTTTCTGCTCTGCGAATGTAAGACATGAGTTGAATCATCATGGAATATGTGCAAAAATACCTTTACCGTATAAACAAAAATGAAAGAAGTGAGTCCCCCAAAAAGTTGAAATTTCATAGGCAAAACATATTGTTTAAAAGCTGACTGTAATCATTTGGAAACAAAACAGTGAAGCCAAAATAGAAGACTCTGAATAATTTCTGATGATTTCCGCCACAGATGTGATAAGTTATGACGAATACATGTGCATAGTATTACAAGTCAAATTGTATTAGTCATTTTTTTTAAGAACAATGTCTTATAAACAGGAAACAATCTTCATCTAAACCTAGTCAGTGTTTTATCAATAACAAAATTACCGAGTTCAACAAATTAAAAGGACCGATTGTTGACAAGTTATTTCCAAATGATGACGATCTGCCATTCAAAATGTATTAAGTAATTTTATTTAGAAACTAAGAGTTTATGAGTAATGGATATTATCGTGAGCAAGCTAAAAGCATTGGTGTAGCCAGGGGTCCTAGGACACCTACCCCCTGGACAACCACCCCGGATAACCACCCCTAGATAACCACCCTCTACGACAACTACCCCCAAGGGCAAACACCCTCTAGGACGAACCCTAAGACAACTACCCCAGGACAACTACCCCAGATAACTACACCCCAAACAACTACCCAGGACAACCACCCTCGAAGACAACTACCCCCCGGACAACTACCCCTACGACAACCACCCTCCAGGACAACTACTCTCTAGGACACCACCCCAGACTACTACCCCCTAGGATAGTTGTCCGGGCGTAGTTGTCTGGGGTAGTTGTCCGGGGTATTTTTCCTATCGTCATAAATGGTGGTTGCCCTATAGGGGTATGTCCTATAAGGTGGTTATCCGAAGGTTGGTAATCCGGGGGTGGTTGTCCAGGGGTAGGTGTCCGGAAACGGTAGCCAGGGTACACCTTTACCCCTACCCCTATACCCAATGCGTTTTAGGTTATTTTATGTATCCTCCCCCCCCCCCCCCCCCCCCCACCAAGTACCCCTCTATCACCGTTCAATAAGTTTGGCTATGCTGGTGGGTAAATGTCAGTTAACATTGATATTGCACTAATGGGTCATCTGCTGTGCTCTGTGATTTTTTGTTTTGTTGTAATTATCCACTATCCCCATTCTCGGAACTAATGTTGTCAACATAATATTAAATGCATTAAGTACATGTTTATATAGTAGCTGTGCTATATATAGGCCTACATAATCATTATTATCATAAACTGTGTAAGGTAGTAGGCCTAAATACCGGCACAATGTTACTGATATATCGTAATTGAAACATCTTCATTCAAATAATCGGATAGTATTGTGTAGAACCTCTGAGAAATAACACCCATAACCCATTCCAAATAATATTGTGCTTCCCGTGCTATTTTGTGAAATATTGGATTGTATCAGGTTTTAGTCTGTGGACACAGGCTTGCTATTTTCAACTTCGAAATTGATCTTTATATGTATACCGCACCGTATGGTACTGGTTAAGTTTTGGGGGGTGTACGTTGTTTATTTTGTCATATTACTGCACAGGAAATAAATTGATATATAACACAAACACGTTTAGATATAAATGTTTATTGATTATTGACGAGTTAAAAGCATGTCAGTATCATGAGTTGGAGATCATAGTTTTCATGAGAGAAAACGGGTGTGAGGTAATATTGATGTATGACAGTTTGGAGCCAGAAGGTCACAGATTAAAGATAAACTTGAGTTCTGGTAAAAAAAAAAAAAATGAATTCTCACATAATCTAACGAAACTTACACTGAATGTTCAAGATTACAAATAAATGTCATGTGCCAAACAATTTTGGAAGAAAATGTATACTGGCTGAGTAATGAGCATAGAAAGATAAGGAAATCAGGGCAGTACTAGCCCCGACATCATGTGTGTTGTCCCATATACATCTATATGTGTAAGTGATTGTTACTTTACCAAGACTCTGCCAAATTTATGATGATTTTGATGACTCTAGAACCTTGCATTACACACCATTACTTACATGCTATATGATCAACTTTTCTGATCCATTCCACACCTTTTCTTTCACAATGCAATAGCATTACCAGTACTCAAGTTTATCTTTAACAGAATTAACACCCTTCAGACTCAGTTTCGTGCAATGTCTGGTTTTCATGATAACATTGTGCCATATCAATAACATTTTTATTTCATTTTGATATCAGTAGGCCTATATAGATACAATATCGTTCGTGCATCTTAAGAACAGTTTATTCACAAAAAGTAATCAAATATAATTGTTACTTTGTAAAGGAAGCGGTAATTGAGTAGAAAGAAAAACATCACCTGTCGCATTTACGTGTTTTATATGGGTGGTTCCAGGCGCGTACGCAAGGGGGGGGGGGGGGGTTGGGGTTGAACCCCCCTTTAACTTTTTTAATGTGTTTGTTCTTTGAGGACCCCCCTTTGTTTTTTTGTTTTTTCTTAATAAAAAAAAAAAAGTTGACCTTACCCCCTCCCGTTATCGAAACGTAATATCGATGGGCAATTTTTTTAAATTTTGGGACACACACACACACAAAAAAAACCTTCTTACCACCCCCCCCCCGCTTATTCAGCGACTGGCTGAGCCGTTGCGAATTTTTTTGGGACCCCCCCCCCCCCCCCAAAAAAAAAAAAAAAAAAAAAAAAATAATAATAATAAATAAATAAATAGAGTCTAAAAAAAAAAAAAAAAAAAAATAAGAAAAAAAAAAATAAATAAAATGTCCTCTTACTCCCCCTCCCCTCCCCCCGCTTTTTCAGCGGCTGGCTGAGTCGTTGCGAAATTTTGGGGACCTCCCCCCCCCCCCCCCCCCCCCCCCTCCCTCGAAAAAAATCCTGCGTACGCGCCTGGTTGGTTCTATTTATATCAAGTGAGGTAAAATAATGGATAAGGTTAATACTGATTGTGAAAAATAGCAACTGTATAAATATTTAAAGGGACTGTTTAGTTAGGTATTATACTTACACCGTTTTAAGCTCTAGAAAAAGACCCCCTTTCCTAATGACCCCGTTTCCCTTTCTCCCACGCGAAAATTATGTTCCTTGTTTGACGTAAGACCCTTTCTTCATCTATTGAATCATTGTTTTATAATTTTATATACCCAGAATACCTCCATCGAAAAAAGACGGATGCCCTTTCTATAAAAGATAGGATGTCAGTTTCTCGTAGTTTACATGGTATAGGTCAGGGGCGGCGATCCGGGGGGGGGGGGGACGGGGGGGGCGGGGACAAGTCCCCTCCGCTCAACTTTTTTAGGGGGGATCGTTCCCCCCCCCCCCCGGAAAAAGTGCATAATAAAAGGAAAGCAAATACTGACTAAAGACTGCAACACACTTTTAGGCTCTGGAGGGCCCAAGAGTGCAGCGTTTAGACAAATAAAAATGCAAAAATCTTCTCACTCGGTAGTATGCTACCTCGCATAATATCCTAAAAATGTGTAAATACCAAGAAATGTGAAGTGTGAAAAAAAAAATATATTGCTTGTTTTTATACTGTAGTTTTGCTAAGGACTGTAATATTTTAATACAACAAAACTAAAATTTACAAATGTTGCTGAAATGGCATGATTTTTCCCTGAGCTTCCGGGGCTCTGCCGCCTGCACCCCACCAAGGGCCCAAAGGCGCCCCCTGGATGCTTATCTGAACGTAATTTAATGCCTAAAACCCCTGAGCTTCTGAGGGCTCCGCCCCTGGACCCCACTCCAATTAGTGACGTGCATGCCAGTGTAACAAATAATGTATCAAAATATGCTCATCTGACCTTAATAAATGCCTAAAAACTCCTGAGCTTAATGGGGCTTCGCCCCTTGACACCCGCCGGGGCTTTGTCCCTGGACCCCACGCCAATTTACGCTCCACTTTGCTTTGCTTTACTCTACCTGATCGTAAATACTTTAGCCCCCCTCCCCCCCACCCCACTTTGAAAAACGTTCCCACGGCCTGCGTAACATGTAAGAGAGGTTGTGATGTGGATTTTTTTCTGTTTTCTGCCCCCAAAACGTTTTTGCTCATTACGCCACTGCTCCCTCGTCCCTCGCATTTCGCCCCTCCCCCCCCCCCCCCGGTCATGAAAAGAAATCACCGCCCCTGGTATAGGTCCATTATGTATATGTCGAATGGCCGGATACAAAAATAAGCTAGTACCTAAGCCAAATACGGATTTTCGACAATGATGCTTGGCATTTTATGCCCCTATTTTTACTCAATTGTATCCATGATTGCAGAAGACTGTGATACTGGCGATTCCACTGTATAAAGGTTGTTGTCGCTCCAAAAAGTGCCCTTTTTGCCGATAAAACTATCCCCTGATTTGATAAAATGTCCGCCTCTCCTATGTATGGCGAGAGAAAAGAAGAGAGAAAGAGAGGGAGATAGAGAGAGAGAAAGAAAGAAAGAAAGGGGGAGGGGTGCATCCCTTTCCTGCATGGTCTATGCTATGTCTTTTTTTGTCCGCCTCTCTTTTCAACTATTAATCGTTTTTGGGATATAAATGCATTTTATTTTATTCACGAGACGAGTGGAAATAAGATCCCAACTGAAATTATGTATAAGCAGTATATTTGTATCCTTCAACTTTTGTAGACACCCCGTAGACACCCCCCCCCCCCCCATACCCTACGCGTAGTACAACATACGGTACTCAACTTTCAAAATGGCGACATCCGTAGGAACCGGAATTCTGAGGAGAGTTGCTAATTTTGCCGTTTTCAATGGAAAAGGAGGTCTTTACAGGGTAAGTTGTGATTTTTTTGCCATTTTTATCAGTACTCTCTTATTGATAAAGTATGTACGTGAATGAAATGTCTGAAATTAAAGGGTAATTATGATCTAAAGGAATTTTTAATGAAAAATAATCGCACAGTCCCACATGCAAGAAATTATGTAAGTTCTATTAGAATACGTAGAATGGTCATAGGGTCTACACACATATGATAATAAAGCGCATTGTATGATTTGGATAGAGTGACATATGCTATTTGTAAAGCATAAAAAGTACAAAACCCACTTATTTCTGTATAACTTGCCCAATCAAAAATGATGACTAGGGTCTAGACCTAGCAATGCAAAGTAGAATCTAGCATAGACCGAAAGCTTCAGTCTCTATAATCGTCGGTTGTTCCACTGAGACTACGTCTGGCTCCACTAGACCTCCGGTTATAGAGACTGAACGACTGCCTATGCCAGCCTGTGTTGAACTTATTCCGCTAGATTTTAGCCGCTAGGCCCCTCCCACAAACTTGCCACGGCCGTATTGTTATGCCCCCAAAATCCCCCAAATGTCATTTTACCTCGTTCATTTCCAATTTTAAATTAGGCCTAGGCTATAATACATCGGTTCCACTTACTAACTTTATTGATATAATCCGTTTAATGGTCCCTTTTAAGGAAATTATGGGTCAAAATCGACATCCATGTTGAAAATCTTGCAAGCCGTGTTAAACTCTCGCTGCCGTCAATCTCATCCCTTCTAGTCTACGCCGAAGGCAAAATGATTATGAAGGAAAAACTGTGATAACGCCATTACGAACGTGTAGATGGCGCAGTTTTTCCTTCATAATCATTTTGCCTTCGGCGTAGACTAGAAGGGATGAGATTGACGGCAGCGAGAGTTTAACACGGCTTGCAAGATTTTCAACATGGATGTCGATTTTGACCCATAATTTCCTTAAAAGGGACCATTAAACGGATTATATCAATAAAGTTAGTAAGTGGAACCGATGTATTATAGCCTAGGCCTAATTTAAAATTGGAAATGAACGAGGTAAAATGACATTTTGGGGGATTTTGGGGGCATAACAATACGGCCGTGGCAAGTTTGTGGGAGGGGCCTAGCGGCTAAAATCTAGCGGAATAAGTTCAACATAGGCTGGCATAGGCGATCGTTCTGTCTCTATAACCGGAGGTCTAGTGGAGCCAGACGTAGTCTCAGTGGAACAACCGACGATTATAGAGACTGAAGCTTTCGGTCTAAATCTAGCATAGACTAGCACATGTAGCACTGCCACAAGTAGACCGAAAGCTTCAGTCTCTATACCGTCGGTTGTTCCACTGAGACTACGTCTGGCTCCACTAGACCTCCGGTTATAGAGACTGAACGATCGCCTATGCCAGCCTATGTTGAAGATATCACGGCTAGATTTTAGCCGTTAGGCCCCTCCCACAAAGACAAACATGAACAAACTTGCCACGGCCGTATTGTTATGCCCCCAAAATCCCCCAAAATGTCATTTTACCTCGTGCATATCCAATTTTACATTAGGCCTAGGCTATAATACATCGGTTCCACTTACTAACTTGATTGAAATAATCCGTTTAATGGTCCCTTTTAAAAAATGATTTAAAAATGATTATGAAGGAAAAACTGTGATAACGCCATTACGAACGTGTAGATGGCGCACAGTTTTTCCTTCATAATCATTTTGCCTTCGGCGTAGACTAGAAGGGATGAGATTGACGGCAGCGAGAGTTTAACACGGCTTGCAAGATTTTCAACATGGATGTCGATTTTGACCCATAATTTCCTTAAAAGGGACCATTAAACGGATTATTTCAATCAAGTTAGTAAGTGGAACCGATGTATTATAGCCTAGGCCTAATGTAAAATTGGATATGCACGAGATAAAATGACATTTTGGGGGCATAACAATACGGCCGTGGCAAGTTTGTTCATGTTTGTGGGAGGGGCCTAACGGCTAGAATCTAGCCGTGCTATCTTCAACATAGGCTGGCATAGGCGATCGTTCTGTCTCTATAACCGGAGGTCTAGTGGAGCCAGACGTAGTCTCAGTGGAACAACCGACGGTATAGAGACTGAAGCTTTCGGTCTAAGCCACAAGTAGCAGTGCGATGGAGGGTGCCTTCAAATTAAATCAATGTTTTTTATCACTCAAAAAGTATTGTAATGACTAATGCTGAGTATGAGTGAGATGAAATCTGTAGCCATAGATCTTTCCAATCCATATGACTTAAATTAGGTAACTTAAATAGTAGAAATAAGTAGTAAAGAATAGCAAGAAAGAACAAATAATGAATTGCAATTATGAGAGAAAAAAAAGAAAACAATGTTGCATTATGTAAAATGGATATGGTTAAAAAAAAGGAGAACACAACATGAACCTGCACAGGGTGATTTGCAAATGAATACAATTTAAATAATGCCTGCAACTACTAAAAACTGTATCTGGACACCTACCCCCTGGACAACCACCCCCGGATAACCACCACAGGATAACCACCCTCTAGGACACTCCAGCAAAGCATAGAGTCAATGCTAAAGCATATTGCCCTCTAGCACTGTATACTTGCTGAGAAGCAGCAATTGCATACAATACACACATTGCGCACAATTGCACACTAATGCACACAACAAATTTGAAGTGGCTGGTAGGCAAGTTTGACAGTAGACTCATGATTTGAATTTATAGTATTCTCCGGTTATCCGGGGGGTGGTTGTCCAGGAGTTAGGTGTCCTAGGACCACTAAAAACAATTAAGGGTGCATGGATGGCTAGTTGTCATGGATCTGATTTTGATTGAAAAGAATCAGTGTATACTATAAAGTCATAATAACTGTTAAAATGATTGTTCACCTGGGGTGGTATTCTGAACATTAGTTTTGTGTTATCTTTTGTTGTATCTCCCAGAGATAACACAGTGCTAATATTGTTGTAAGTTGGTATTCTGAACATCATTTTATCCCTGTGTTATCTCTTGAAGGACCGCCTCTATTTTATCTTTGACCACTGTTGACACGCCCATTTGTATGGACCCTACCAATCAAAATCTGTTTTATATAAGCATGATAAGTAGGTTAACCAATAGGAATACTTAATGCCATATCTGAAGATGCACCTAGCGCTAACTAATCTTGGGCGTAATTAGTTATTTGAGCGCTTATTACGCACGTCATCATATGCGCTGTTGAATGTGGATCATGAAGACAAATCATGCTTTCACTATATTGGTTAAGATGAGAGCATTAAAATCGTCATATCCTAGCATGTAATTTCTTAGAAAGTTCTCATCTGTGATGTTTCCGGTCAACACACAATCTTCTTCTAACTCGTCTATTGGCACAAAGCTGGTTCTGGGCAAGAAATATTGCCGCCATTATATCACCACGAACAACAACCCCCTACCTGTTGTAAATATTGTTTTAAATACCATGCAAGATAAGATAAGATAAAAGATACAACTTTCAGAATACCAATTATCTTGACATATTATCTCTTGTGCGCATGTGCAAATGAGGATTAAACGCCCCTTTATTTAATATTTATAATACGCACAATTACAAGCGCACCAAAGTATTAGCGCAGGCGCGGCCAATGAGATGAGAGAAAAGATACAACAAAAGATAATACAAAAGTTACAACAATGTTCAAAATACCAACTTTATCTTATCTCCAAAGATACAACAATATTAGAGATAACACAGGGTTCAGAATACCTCCCCTGATCTATTCAGTTTTCTGATTTTGTTCTTCTCATGAACCTATAGGTTGCTACTCCCTCTCTGTATGAAGAAAGGAAACAATGCATGAGCACAGGGGTAAGTTCTCTAAAGGAAAATCAGTTTCCAAAATAAAGGATGATTATCTACTGATTGTTGTTTTGGTGGAAACAGAAGAATCAGAGAAGTTGATGAAGGTTTCAGCCTTAGCAGACAAATAATGAGGAAGTTATGATTCTGTTAAAGATAGGGTGACTAATGACATTGGGGCATCCAGGGAGAAGAAGAACATGTACAAAAAAGTGTTCAATAAATTGGAGAGTTGTCCTACTATGACACAAATCACTGTGACCAAATTAAAAATGGGAGGTTTGTTGTACTAAATACTACGGTGGTTTCCTGATTTTTCTTTTTTCATCCGGACAAACTTTCCATCTATGAAAGGTCAATCGAAGAAAGAGAAATCAACCATACCAGATTTTATTGATGTCATTTATTTATCTTTCTATCTTATCTAAACATCTATTTATAGATCTATCTATAGATCTATCATTCATTTTATTGACATGCTCATTGTACTCTGTATTTAGTAAGTTGAATCATGTTAGCTCATAGAGGCCTCTAAACTTGAATAAGTGCTAACATCACAGAAAGTGACTGAAAGGAAAACTGTCTTCATGTTTCATGCTTGTACATGACTTCTGAGCTGTTCTACTATAATGCACTATTGAAATACATCTTATCAAAGTCATCAGTTTAGTTTTATGAAGCTCTTCATATGATTCAATTTTTCACCCTTTTCAGGTATCTGTAACAGAAAAGGTGATATTGTGTTATATTAAGTAGTACTTGTTATTAGCATGCTGGGTGAGGTGTAAATATAGTGATGACATTGAGAAAACTAGGACTAATCTAATGAGGAAAATACTTAGATATAGTGTAACAGTGTACCGCATGTACATGTATGTTTTGCCATGTGAGATACTACATGGCTGTGATTAAGGAATGTTTGCAAGTACATGTACACAACTCAATCCAATCCAGGTATGATAAATTTCAAGATTGAAAAGAAAGTACCGTATGTGATTGAGTATACTGTATGAGGGCTAACAGCTAGAGAAATAACATGCTATAAAGAACAGTCTTGTGCTTGTAAAGAGATATAACTGGACTAAATATTTCAAGTGTTAAAATATAATTGACTTCCAATGAATTTATACAGAATATTTATAGTTTCTCTGTGTAGTATATTATACTTTTGCATGTATTTCCTTTTCTTTTGGGGTTGCTCTTCTGTCAAACATCTCTTTGTTTACAGTGTGATGTCCAAATACTAATTTTGTTTAGAGTAAAATCAGGAAGCAAAGTAACATTTGTTTATTAATCAACTTTTTAGCTTACATAATTTATTAAATTTGAATATTAATGTAACTTCACTATAATTCTTTCATTACTATTTCTAGAGGTTAACCAATTTTAAAGTAAGTTCTTTGAGATCTATCCATTTCATTGTAAAGCTCCATGAATTGTGATCATTGCTATTTCTTCATCCCAAATGAGCTGATTGGTCCCATCCTTTGACTAAGAAAGCTTTTGAAATATTTTTATTTTAAATTTGAGCTCAATGCTTTAAATTTAAAGCCTGTCTAAATATTTCTCATGGAAGTAATGTACTTTTTGTGCACTTTTGAGTCTTAACTAAACATTCATGTTAGTTTTTATATTTTGCAGTTCTTTTCAAATTCTTGCATGCTAATTAAGAGTTTACAAATTGGTAATAGAGATGAAATTTCAAAATTTGAAAGACACATTTTTACTTCAATGTAAATTGATTGTATAAAACATTTTGCATGGGATAAAACTTTACAATTCTTGTTTATCTTTTTTAGCTGAAGAAGCATTAGCATGGCCTTGTACCTAACACTTAAGAATTTGTAGGGTTTGCATTCTGCAGCCTGCAGCAGTCATTGCTATAAAAACCTGTGATGTGTAGGCCTAAATCTTTTACAAATAATAGGTATTTTAGTTCATTAAAGAAACCCTTAGATAGATAGACATAAATTCATGCCATTCATTTACAAAGCAAAGAAAATGCTTGTTGTTTGTTGGTTAAAGTAATCAGTGTTAGGAGACAATGATTTCATCGAAGTACTATTTTTGCATCCATTTCATATGTTTGCTGTGTTTCCAGCCCATGCAGAGTCATTGCTCAAAAGGGGTGGGGTGGTTGTAAAAAATACTTCTGCTTCAAAATTTATGTCTTCAAATCTGTTTTAGATGTAAGTAAATTATGATTGTGTTGTATTTTAACATATTTTTTGTTATATTACTTATATTTCTTATCTTCTGCCTGCTAATTCGGTCTGATTTCCCTCCCATTCAAAAAATGTTGTAGTGACACATTTCTTGTGTCATAAACTGCCAGTTTGGAACTTGAAATCGCATGTACACTGCATTTGGTACTGAATGTGGTGCATACATACATGTATAGAATTTTTTTGAGTGGTATTGGTCATCATTTTTCCTACTTATTCTAGAATCATCCATCATGAAAATGCATTGTGCACTGTCTGTTTTTCACCTTGAAGTGTTTAACAATTTCCATTTTTCTTTTTGAATGCTGTGAATGCTTTTCTTTTTAAATATATGACATGGCAGGGGCGCGACATTGTTCAACACATGGTAAGGCTTTTTGCTACTAGCTGTCAAGCTTTTCTCCTTGTAAATGTGATATATCTGTACATGTTTCTGTATGATGTAACACCTGAAAACCTGTAATTATCACAGGAACAAATCCAGGCATGTGGGAGGTGCACACTCTCAGTATTTCACATAAAGAGGTTTGCCCTCTTTTTCCCCAATTTAAAAAAAATGTCTACGTTTGTCTCTAGAGATGGAGGTGCACCTCCTGCTATTAGGGACTTTTAGATTTGCGTGGACTGATACGTGTAACATCCATTCAAGGCAGTGCATTAAAAGGACGTCGATCGTAGCAATCCACGTTGTCGTTGTGCAAATCTAAAAAGTCCCTATTATTCAATCCTGGACTTGCCATGACTCTCTTCACATGTGCATGCTATACTATGTCTAGATTTCTTCAAAGCAATTTATCCATACTTCATTGCTTCATGACTTTGTTTTTTTGTTAGATATAGCTCAGTCATTGCATCACAATTTACTGTGAACTTCTTACAGTTACACTGATATTAGAACAGGGAAAATTATTTCTGTCTCTGCGTGCATGTTAACTGAGCAAATCCACAAAATGCCCAAGATTGACCCTATTTTATTTTTTGGGGTAATATCTGTATAGCAAAGAAAAAATGTCTTCATTGCTTATAAAATATAAGAATTTAAGAACACAATATTTCAATAAACATCATTGCTGAAATGTTATGAATTCTGAAAAGTTTAAGTTGAAATGAGATATGAAATAAAACAAATTCTCTGAGCAATTTTGTTTGTAACATTATTTTGATGTACATGTAAGAAGCCTTCCATGTTTAAATAAATGAAGAATTTTCATTTTCTATTTGACAACAAAATCATGCAAAACCTTACCCCTACATGTCAACAGCTACACGTATAGTAACTCAGTAAACACTAATACCATATCATTCAAAACTCTTGCAACACATGTAATTTTGTAATACCATCCATGTGATATTACCTCCTGTTTCCCATCTTTTTATCCTCTCTCTCCCTTTCTCAGCACCACCTATATGTATCACTTGATTCCTTCTGCTAATATTCATAACCACTGCTTTCAATTTAGTACATTACAAATATATATATATATATATATATATATATATATATATATATATATATATATATTTTAAATCAATTTTTATTTTAATTCCCCTCTAATTTTACTTGACATGCTTGCTAATTTGTTTCATATTTTCCCCCATTTCATTCTGTTTTTTTTATTGCAGTCAAATATTGCTTTTCTTTGTATTTTCTTTGTGCTTGGAGATTCTTTCCTTATTGTCTCCCTAACTTTGAAGAACCTGGGATTTACTAGATTATGCAATGATATTTGTACACCTTGCCTCTGTGCACTTCATTTCTCAATTTCTTTCTTTTCGTCCCATCTGATCTAGGTAACTTTCTAATCCTCAGTTTAATCTTGATTATTTTATTATTATTCTTTTCTACTTTTCAAGTTCTTGCTTATCCTTGCTTAAAATTGTATCAAAAGTTGTATTGAATGTCATATTATTAATAGCTACACATTCCAAATTTGCGACCTTATTCATAGCATGTAAAATTGATATGTACATGTAAATGAAACAACTGTCAAATGGATATTATTTTCCATGTAATGTAAGTTGTCAAGCAGCTCCATCCGAGTTATCTTTTGTGCCTTATACATTGGACTGAAGTGATGCAAACAAATAGTGAATACCAAATTATGGACAAGACAGGCCTGCTTAGATTTCAACAGGACATTATGCATTACCGGTACTTTAAAAGAGAAAGAGAAAGTAATGGGAAACTGTCACAAACTGAGCAATACATTATGATTGCAATAATCATCTCAGGCCATGATAGCAATTGTTGGTTTCTCATTACTCTGTTGAGTCCGTTCATTAGCACCATTCCTGTGCACCCTTCATCACTCAACTTACATGTAGAAAGGCACCGACTCGGACACTTGTATATATAATGATAAACAGTTTTAAGCATGCAATGACAAACCATGGTGTCTTTTTCACCTGCAATGATGAATTGTACATGCATGTATGTTGGGATTATTGTATACTCTGATATCTCAGTCACGGCAGCGAGACTGATACCAGAACATCAGACCATATAAGCGACATACATTACACTACCCCAAATGGCCCAAAATTGGTCTGATTGGAGTCCATATATGGCAGTATAAGATTTACTGACAGGTACCTGTGTTCAAATGCCAATTACCGGTAGGCTGGATTTCTAGTTTGTTATCTCTATCTCAATTGTTTGTCAAGTGTTTACCACTTGGTAATATATTCTACCATATGTTTTAATCAATGATAGTGATGAGATTATTGAATAGAATGATTTATGAAACCGGCATATTTCAATATTTTCTCTTTGATCAATCGAGTGTTACACTAACAGTAATAAATCCATAGCTCCAACTATTACCTGGTCATTATACTCAGTCATTTGACAAACAAGGTGAGCTTTGGGAAATTATAACCCCTTTGGTAAATATAACCCCCTACAGTGGTCCAAAAATGTTATATTACACCCTACCAGTCAAAATCTGTATACTACCTTTCATATAAGAAGAATTAGGGCAATAATATTATATTGTAATAACTATTTTAATCATGGAAGTAATGAGTTGATACAGTTTGATCATGTTAATGTTTTGAAGTTAGAATATTCAAAATATGTTATTAGAAATCTATGATATTAAGGTTTGACTGGCCCAACATAAATAGAAAATAAAGCAATTTTTTCAAAGGTGATTCTATTTTAATTTCACCTGCCTTTTAGTGGAAGAAGAGAAAACAGTATATGTGAATAGTGATGGATTGTGAGCATCTTGCTTTTATCAACAAAAATCAAAAGAAATCTGACAACTAGATTTTTCTAAATCAGTATACACAGGCTCTAAACATGTAATACCTGTAATGGGTACTATCTTTTGTTTAAAATGCCTGCTGTAGAGGGTACCTTGTAGAACAAATCTATCCCATCCATCACATGGCTGTTAATGAACCTTGTTCAATCTACAACTTTTTGTCACCCTACAGTAAACTCTATTTACATGGGGAGATAACTCTCCTGAAAATTGCCACCCCATTAGGGGAGGTGTAAAGCTCTGCTGAAATGGCATCCAAGTCAAGATATTGCAGGTTGCATACCGGTACATGAGCTTGCATGAATGTGCTCTCCGATTGAGGTCATTGCTCTTTTGTTAGTATTGATGGCTATAGTACTGTTTTGAAATGCTTTGATAGTGTCCTTTAATACTCCTTTTAATTGACGACTTATGTTTATAACACATACTATTTAATCACTCAATCAGAAAAATTGGACATTAGTGGATCATATAGAGTTATAAAAATGAAAAACTTGTACACATGTACATCAAATTGTATTGATTTGCATGAAAGATGGCTCCATTTTATTAAGGGGGGGGGGGGGCTTTCTGGAGAAATGCATGAAGCTTGACATCTGATAATAATATTAGGATGGAAGGCTGGTGAATGACAACTATTGGCTTTTACTCTTGTTTTATGATGCATTTTAGAATGTTAGCATATTTCTAGATATGGTTTTATTTTTTTAAAGTACTGTATATAATTGTTGTTTTAATAGGAATATCTTGTAGTCCATATAGTTGGGGAAATTTAATTGCTCACTAACAGAAAAAGTTATGAAGGTATACAGGTAATCATGTATATCTGCTTTTCATTTTAAACCATATTTGGATTGGTTTAGTTAATTGATGTATCCTATTTCCTCTGCAGTTTAGACTTACAATAGTCATCTATTAATTGAGGAGGCAAGTTTGCTCAGTAATTGGTAAAGCGTCTGCCTGTCGAACCAAAGATCGTGGGTTCAAATCCAACCCAGGCAGATGACTGAAGGCTGCGTTGTGTTTTACGTGCCCCTCCCTTGTTTTATAGACGCACACTATGTTAAGTGCAAAACACCCTGTCCCTCGGTTAGCATGTTAAATGGAGGCCCCGTGTAGAGGAGAGCCACAACTTTTGCACATTAAGAACCCACTGCACTATTCGTATAAGAGTAGGGGGAAACCCCAGTCCACCTGCACACCCCCAATTATGCCGGTGATGCCACTACTGAATGATAATAATAATGATAATAATAATAATTATTGGTTAGTTTTGAACTGTTGTATATATTCCTATAAATGAAATTTGTTGGTAACATTTCTTTGAAATCAGGAATTATTTAATCTATCTGTATGTCTCTCTAGAGAAATCTACTACTTGATAAAGCCTTATACTAGTTTGTATTTTGTACCATCAATTTGTAAAAATCTATTGTGATAGATAGTGTTCTTATTTCAGAATGTAATATTCTTTAGGAATGTTATTCTTTAACCCTTTCTTATGTTGTATTATAGCGAAGGCATAATTGTGGGTAACCCAAAACTTCCATGTGGGAGAACTTTCCTTAAAAAAGAAAGCTCTTGATCAGATATATCTCAAAAATTGTATGAAATTTTCAAGATAACAAATCCAATAGCTGTAAATTTTGATGCACATGTTTATGTCAGTGTGTGCTCATTCCAGTTTCTCTCCATATGCTAGATCCCTGCAAGAATGCATGTTGTATCAGTTCCTTTAACATTTAATATTTCATAACAGGCTCTCTCCTCCCTGCCTAACAGGTTATTAACCATTTTGTCGCATGCATGAATGTGAATATCTGTGCTTATATGAATTTAATAGGTGAGGAATCTTTCAAAATGCTAAATGTATATAACTGTTTGAACCTGGCAGGAATTAATTCTTTGAAATGCTAGAGCGCCGTAATGGCAGCACAGCTAAAGCCGGGGTAATAATCTCCAAGTTTGGAAGCTAGCGCATAGTGATTGTAATAAGAGCTATATAAAAACTGAGTATTATTATTATTATTATAATAATGACCTTTGACCTCTCATCTTTAGCCTCCTCCAGCATGTTACGGAGGCAGACATACAGTCACTCTCATCCCAGGAGATGGTATTGGTCCAGAGCTGATGCTGCATCTCAGAGAAGTCTTCAGGTATGGTGGACAATCTCATTCTAACCTCATCTTTCATTTTGCACAATGCTGAGATCATATTCCTTAATGAGAATTATATTATCATACCACAATTTATATTGAACTTGGCCTGTTTTTTTATCACTTTATGTTTGCATACATGCTCACCTATTTGTAAACTTTGAGGAGCAGAGTCTATGTCGAGAGACCAAAGATGCAGTAGCAAGGAGGTGGAAGCTCCCAAATTGGTTTTCCTTCACTTTGCTTGAATCTGAAATTCTATTCCTGATGAGAGTAACATTCCTATACTGTAAATAATGTGAATTGAATGTAGACTGTTGACCCTTGACCCTTCCATGTTTGCAGACATGCCCATGTTCCTGTAGACTTTGAAGAGCACAGTCTTTGTGGAGAGACCAACAAAGACAGTGAGGAGGTGGAAGGTGCTATCATGGCCGTCAAGAGGAATGGGGTCGCTCTCAAAGGCAACATCCATACAGACCTTGAGAACTTGAAGCATGTCGCTGCTAAGTCTATGAATGTCCAACTCAGGTAAGAACCCTTGCTGCCTTGAGCAATTCTACTATGTGCACCATTCCTTTCAGGCTATCAATTAAGGCAATGATACCTGCTTCTGTTTCACTGGATATTAAGAGAGCAGAGACAAATGAATAGTTTGTACAACGATGGTAAAGTCAAAGATTCCAGATGATTGGGGATAAAAACCTCATCAATTATTTGTAAATACTTCAAGCCAATTTTGTGTAATTTGTCTTGAATGGCAATTTCTTTAACAAGATTATAAGCTTTAATATTATTATACCAAATAGTCCCATACCTGATGGATCAACTCATGATGGGACTAGGAGGGGTGGTGGGGGGGGGGGGGGGGTGGGTGGGGAGAATTATATTTAAATAAATGTACAGAACGAAGAAAGGGCTATTTTAGATGCTCAGTATCTCTTTTAATTCTAAAATTTAAATGGGTAGCAAAAGACCACGTAAATTTTTCTTTTGTGTACGTATTGCTTAAGGTATGCTGCTAGGTTTATAAAAGGGAGGAACAAGTTGATGTTTCCCCTCCCATCCACCAGTGACTCATAATAATACATGTATCCTTCTTGATCATTTAGAGTGGGCCTGGATGTATTTGCCAATGTGATTCGCTGTAAGTCTATTCCTGGGGTGAAGACAAGACATGAGGACATTGACATTGCCATTATCAGGGAGAACACTGAAGGAGAGTACTCCAGTTTGGAACATGAGGTGAACCATCTAGCTATTCTCTATATCTGTGGGATGAAAGATTTTCATGAAATGGTTTTTAACCATTCAGTATGGCATTTTTTCTTCATAGCACACACATCCATAGGTCTTTGTTACATTGTAACAGCAGTACTGCAAGGGTTAAAGTGAAAAACACTGTGATAGGAAAGTTGCTATATCTTCAAATCATGATTTATGTCATTTCAATCAGTATTAGTCTTTGTTTTTTTATTTGTGATGATTATGTATCGATTTCAGAAAGCCAGTATACATACATACCCAGTATTGGTTTCTGATGGAAATGTCTCACAGTATATATTTACAGTAACCGCAAGTCTGATGCTTACCTCATGAAAATCAGAATTAAACACAGACAAAATGAAAAGCATAAAATGACCACAACAAAATAATGAACTGATAATAATGTTACTCGTATCATAATTCATGATGCCTTTTATCCTCTGTGGTTAAATGAATCCTGCATGTATACATGAGTATATATAGTTATGTATAGCACAACCCATATTTCAACCTATTAATAAAAGAGTAATTGCATTGGACTTTTGTTTACGGTACAAGGAATTAAGTTTACCAACTGTCTTGATAATATTCAATCTGTTTTTACATGGTTGTGAACACTGTTGATGTTTTTGTGTTCGTCTTAGAATGTAAGAAAGTCATCACCATTTCTTTTACCGGTAGTAGGGAGAAATTTCAAAGGAAGTTCTTCAATCATTTGTTTTGCCTGTCATAGCCTTTGGGACTGCTTTTCTTCTTATAGAATGTTGATGGAGTGGTGGAGAGCCTGAAGATCATCACAGAAAAACGATCAATGAGGATCGCAGAGTACGCCTTTAATTATGCAATCAAACATGGCCGTAAGAAGGTTACCGCAATCCACAAGGCAAATATCATGTAAGTTTCCCCCTTGTCTAGGGGCTAGGAACCCCTCTTTCCCGTGTAAAGTAGCATAATGGTAATTCTTGCAATGTGTTCCATATGACATCAGTCTTTTATCAATATCTTTCATCAAAAAATGAAAATCGCACAATAATTTGTTGACAAAAAAAAAAGGTATGATACATTCTGCGCAGTAGCACCCTCAATTTTTTAATTTTTTTTTACAGCATTGTAATTTTTATTGTTATAAATGAGCAGGCTAGATATGTGCAGTTGATGTACGAGAGAGAATTCACTAGAATGAAAAATTAAAGCCTTTTGGGGGTTATAGAACTAAAACCTGGGTTAAAACTTTTGATTTCAAGTGAAGGGAATTTTAAATGAAAGTGTTTAGATACACATATAAAGCAGTTAATAAAACAAATTATATGTATGTGTAAACATGAAAACATTGATATGAAATCAAGCTGGATCACGTCAAATCAGAACTTTAAAAAAATTCATAAATTCACCACAGTTTTATGAAAATTACTGAAGTATAAGATTGAAATTGTGCAGTGTGTGATTATCATCTTAGCAATTGACTTACCGGTACCGTAAATCTCTATGTATAAGGTGCACCTGTGTATAAGGCGCACCCCTATTTTGGGGGCAATGTACTCCTGTACATTGGACACTCTCATAAACACTCCCATTCACACTCCCATACACTATCTAAGTCTGCTCGCTCATCCCTGGACTTCTCTTGTGTCAAGAAATGTTGGATATTTCAAAATATAAACAACAACAAAAACAAGTACCGGTAAGCTCCCTCCCGACCTTCGTACATTGGAGCAAAATAAGCACATGAATTAAAAACTTGAACATCTGATCTGAATTGCCATGTCATGATTGCTACAAAACCTTATCACTATTCAATATACATTTATACATTTTAAAAAGATGTTACAAGTAATTATCGAAGCATAAAATGTAAAATTTAAAATGCAGAATGTAAAATGTAAAAATGTAAAAATGTAAGCAGACAATGAGATTCCGGACCATTCAACAGGTAGACAATTAAGATTCATTCATGCATTTAACAGGTCTATTAAGTACGGAATTTCTATAGCGGTTCGTTTAACAATGAAATTGACGATACTTAGTCCTTCTTCGCAGTGAATAATAATTACCAAAGGTAAGTGTTTCTGTGCTAAAGACTATTAGGTCTATTTAAGACAGTCTGAATCTTTAGGACGTTCTGCAGTAATGTCCTTACCCGCCTAAGCTGTGTAGGGTCAGCTGGTTATGTATCCACCATGCACAATGCTTGGAGTTCCTGGTATTGTGCATAGTAAATACATAATCAGCTGGCCCTGAAGCTAATGGACATTACTGCAGAACGTCCTTATATGAACTCTCTGGAGATATATCAGTGTGTTAGGTATGAATGATCATTTACGGTAATATTGATCAAACATTTCCCAATTCTCCCTCTATTTTGATACCGACAGGAAACTAGGAGATGGTCTCTTCCTCAACTCCTGCAGAGCGGTTGCAGCTAGATATCCGGAAATTGAGTTCAATGACCTTATTGTTGACAACTGCTGTATGCAGGTAATTATCATTGTAAATCTACTGTAAATCATTTTGCTGGGAGCCTTGAAGGCATTGAATTATTTTTCATTTGCAAATAGTATTAAAACATGGAGGATGATAAAACAAACCAAATATTAATATTTTGGGTTAAATACCATGTGTAGGTACTGTGAGCATAACCAGAGGTGGCTATGTGCACCATATAATTATGAACATTACTACCGTTATGTTTGTCCACCTCCATGAATTAACATAACATACTCATACTAAGTTTGTTTTCCTTTGTTTTTATGATGTGCAGTTGGTATCCAAACCCCAGCAGTTTGATGTGATGGTGATGCCTAATCTCTATGGTAACATCATTGGTAACATTGGATGCGGACTGGTGGGTGGACCTGGCATAGTACCAGGGCAGAATGTAGGAGAAGACTATGCCATCTTTGAAACTGTAAGTGTGTTCCGTCACCTCTGAACTACTCTAGATAACTTTGAAAGGGATGATTTGAGAAAAGTTGAGAGGATAAAGTTCATCCTACCCTAGTCACTCCAACAATACCCCAACATGCCAAAGATTTTATCAGTTATTGGTCTTTTTGTGGTCAGTATTGAGTCAGTTTGGTGGTGGGAGTGATGCAAGCTAGCAATAGTTCTGTGTAACCCTCGCCCATTCCATCTTCTTCACTTTTAATGAAATGAAGTATGTGGGGGGTATGGAACACAATTTTTCTTTTCTTTTTGGCCGCGTGAAATGAGAAAATCGCGCCAGCCGATATTTCGCTCAATGGGGGGGGGGGGGGGGGGGGGGAGGGGAAGAGAGGGGGGGGGGGGAGGGGAGTGAACCCCCTTTTTATTTCCTTCTCAACACCCCTCCCCCCCCCCCCCCAGCGCTGCTTCATCGTGTGCATATAGGGCCATGAGGAGATCATTCTGCACCTTCAGCAGAGCCGTTTGTACTTAGTGTTGGGCTCTGTATGCTGATTGGTTTGGGGGTAGGAGATCATGCATGGACAGGTACTCCATGATTTGGCTCACAGCTGCCTTTACAAAGAGCTTTGTTACAAAGCTTAGTTTGATATTGGCTGATAGCTGTTGATTTCTTCATGCGGTAGGCTACCCTTCTTTAGTCTTAAGGGATAACAATAGCTTGCTTCATGTTGACAGGCACAACACCTGTTTGAAAACTGCATTAACCAAGAGCGTGAGAGTGGGGAGCAAAGAAATAGAATATTTCTTAGCCAACGAGGTTGAAGGGGATTAAGATCACACAAAGACTTTGACATGGATCCAATGATGTTCATCAGTTCATCACTTGTAACATCGTCAAACTCATTCGTTATGGCATTGCATTGTTCAATCACTGGGACTGATAAGTCTTCATAAAGAGTGCAATGATATATATATATATATATCTATCTAAAAGTAGTCCTTGTAAATATAATTTGCGTCATCCCTGTCCCTGCTTTCTTCTCCCTGTCATATATCCAGGCCACCAGGAACACCGGAAAGACTATTGCAGGCCGAAACCTTGCCAACCCCACAGCAACACTACTGGCTGGGGCTCTGCTCTTAGACCATCTTGGACTAGATAGCTATGCCAAGGCCATTAGGAGAGCCACAATCAGGACCCTAACTGAAGAAAGGGTAGGTCTAACGATACTGTTACTATTCTCTCTCTCCCTCATCTTTTTATGCCTCCGCCACCGAAGGTGGTGCCGGAGGCATCATGTTTTCGGGTTGTTCGTCCGTACGTCCGTACGTCCGTCCCGTTTGACCGTTATCACAATATCTCAAGAACCATTTAAGATTTAAACTTAAGACTCGGGAATAGTATTTATCACCATAGGAAGACGATCTGATTAGATTTTGGAGTACGTAGGTCAAAGGTCACAGGTCACAGAGGTCAACTTATGAAATTCCTTGTATTGAGTTTGTTAGCGCGATATCTCAAGAACCATTTGAGATTTAAACTTCAAAATTAAGGATAGTATGTATCACCATAGGAAGACGATCTGATTAGATTTTGGAGCACGTATGTCAAAGGTCAAGGGTCACAGAGGTCAACTTATGAAATTCCATACATTGAGATTGTTATCATGATATCTCAAGAACCACTGGAGATTTAAACTTCAAACTTAGTGATAGTGTGTATCACTATAGGAAAACAATCTGATTATATTTTGGAGCACGTAGGTCAAAGGTCAAGGGTCATAGAGGTCAACTTATGAAATTCCATACATTGAGATTGTTATCATGATATCTCAAGAACCACTGGAGATGTAAAAACTTCAAACTTAAGGATAGTATGTATCACCATAGGAAGACGATCTGAATAGATTTTGGAGCACGTAGGTCAAAGGTCAAGGGTCACAGAGGTCAACTTATGAAATTCCATACATTGAGATTGTTATCATAATATCTCAAGAACCACTGGAGATTTAAACTTCAAACTTAATGATAGTGTGTATCACCATAGGAAGACAATCTGATTAGATTTTGGAGCACGTAGGTCAAAGGTCAAGGGTCACAGAGGTCAACTTATGAAATTCCATACATTGAGATCGTTATCGCGATATCTCAAGAACCACTGGAGAATTTTCACTTCAAACTTAATGATAGTATGTATCACCATATCATAATATCTCAAGAACCACTGGAGATTTAAACTTCAAACTTAATGATAGTGTGTATCACCATAGGAAGACAATCTGATTAGATTTTGGAGCACGTAGGTCAAAGGTCAAGGGTCACAGAGGTCAACTTATGAAATTCCATACATTGAGATTGTTATCATGATATCTCAAGAACCACTGGAGATTTAAACTCCAAACTTGTTTAAATTGCTCTATGGCGGAGGCATCATTTTCGACTGCGCGCAGTCAAAATTCCATCTAGTTTTTCATAGTCTTTCTTCCTTTTCCTATCTCTTTTTCAAATTGTCTGTTTGTCTGTCTGTCTCCCTCTTTCTCTCCCTCTCTTTCGCTTTCTCTCTTTCACTCCCCCCCTCTCTCTCTCTCCCTCTCTCTCTCACACACTTTCTTCTTTTTCTTTCTCTATATCTCTCTCTCTCTCTCCCTCTCTCTCTCTCTCACTTTTCCTTCAGCTCTTTTTGGACTCTAATCTTTCTCCCTATCCACAGAAGCTTACACCAATGCATCTATATTCTGTAATATGACAAACTGCACATGTCCCATTGTTTTTATTACACTTGTGATGTTGTGTATTAAAAAGAATGCATGGTGAGGATGTACATGTATCAAAGATGAAATTCAGTTTATTTATTGTTTCTTTCATTTACAGATACACACCCCCGACCTCGGAGGTCAAGCTTCTACCAGTGATGTCGTTCAGCATGTCATCAGTCTGGTTGACAAGACACAATTAACATCTCAATAAATATAGATTATAAAACAACTATTTATATACACTATGGAGTTCAGTTTGTGAAGTAGAAATGGCTCTTTTTGAAAGATGTCGATTGCTTGGAATGTGTCACAAGATCATTAGGCTTGGATACAGGCTGAATAGTCCATATTCTAATTAAATTTAAACCTGATGCTGGGTTTAAGCCCAGGGAGTTTAGACTGAGGTCTACTTTGTCCCATTGTTTATTACTGTAATCCTGTTGGGTTAACTAAGTTAGTAGAATATGGGCCAATATATCTAACTGGTTTGTGAGGTGGAAACATAAAGTTGCTGACTTTACTAGTCGAATAGATGTTTCTTCAAGTACATTCAAATGAATTTGTCAAGATATTTCATTCACATCATGTAAAGTCTGATATATCTGTGAAAATCTAGAAATTCTTTTGTATTATTAGTTGACTGATTGAATGATTGTGCTGCCCAAAAGATCCTCTACTCTACTCAGAATTAGAAGAAGGCGAGCTACTCAATCCTACAGCTGAAACTGCCATAGGTAGTCATAACCACCCAAATTCATTGTATCAAGGTAAATGTTTTGGCTGAGAAAAGCTCCTCTTTCTAGATATTCTGGAAATGCAGAATGGTTCTGCAAAGTTGGGTATCATGGAACAATGTTTGTATGAAGATGAATTATGAAAAAATGATCATGAATATCATGTTTTTTGTTGACATAAGTTCTTAAAATGGGTTACCCACTTAATGGCTGATTAATGATTATGCACCTTTTCTGTGAGGGAAAGAAGATAATAAGATCTTACTGAGAGAGCAAAACAAACTTTATACACAACAGTTTATCTCTACTTGTAATCGTAGTATGAAGGCCCATGTTGATTGATGAATTGACCCACAATTTCAGCAAATGAGAGATCAAATCAAGTTAGTTTGATTTTATAATGACAGGGTTTGATGAAATGAAGTATCATTGATTTTCTTCTCTAAATTTTGTTCACTTGAAAGAATTAAAACATTCAAGTTATTAAATCGCAGTCAATCCCCATACTATTTCATTTGCAGTTGCATTCGCACAAAATTTGTGGTAAATGGCATATTTCCCAATGCCCCCCCCCCCATGCCAGTATGTTCCTTTTTAATTGTACATGTAATGTAGATGCTGCATGAGTTGTTAGGTGTACATTGTATGAAGAAAAACTTTATGAAACAAGAATGAGAATAATACATGTATTATTCATAAATTAAATACTGGCATGTTACATGCAAGTACATATTCTTTAACATATAAATGTATCTTACACTGTTCTCGTTCATAGCAAATGGTTTATAACATTTCAATTATTTGATTGCGAGACTGAAACCTCTATCAGGCATGCCTCATCTTATACTTTATAGAAGAAGGGAATGAAAAATATAAACATTGAAGTACACTGTACATGTAAAATGGAGATGGTGCATGTTTGTTTCAATATATTTATATCTTTTAATCCAAAATCATAGAGTGATATGCATTCACAGTTTTGTGTGTGACTAGAGTACAAAGACAGAGAACTACAATTAAAATATTTGTTTTTGTTTAAACATTATGAAATGTGTTGAGATTTATGTGATGATTACTCTCTGTTACGTTCTTAATGAGAGAAAATGAGAGCAAGAGAGAGAGAGAGAGAGAGAGAGAGAAAGAGCGAGAGAGAGAGAGATGGAGAGAGAGAGAGAGAGAGATAGGGGTAGAGCATAGAGATAGCTAGATATCTGACACATTTTTAATGTATCCGCGACATGTACAGCTATTTTTCGTTGAAGATCATCCCATATAATGTATTAATTACAATGTAGGGGCACATACTAATATCTATTTTTTTTCTCTGTTAAGGTTACCCTCTATAAGTCCCCCCCCCAGTGGCGGATCCAGGGGGGGGGCCGAAACGGCCGCGGCCCCCCTATTGGCGGCGCAAAAAAAAAGAGAAAAAAAAGAAAAGGAGAAGAGAAGAAAAAAAGGAGAAGAGAAAAGAAAAGAGAAGAGAAAAGAAAAGAGAAGAGAAAAGAAAGAAGAGAGAGAGAAAGAAAAAAGAAGAAGATACCCCCCCCCCCCCCACCTCACTCCCACTCCGGGGTCGGAGGGACCGATTTTGTGTTCCCAAAATTTCCGATAAAGGGTTACTTTTCACGCAACAAAGTCCGGCCCGTAATACACACAAATCCGGCCCGCTCTGACTTTACACACCGAAGATAAAGGGGTGCTTTTAAACTAAGAGAGGGAACATACATGCGCGTACCCTAGATAACACTGAGTTGGTGGGGGGGGGGGGGGGGAGGGGGAAGGTGGGAAGGGGAAGAAAAAAGTCGGGTGAGAAAGGGGGAAAGACAAGGAAATGGCGCTAAGTGACAGTAACGACGAATATTGGGGAAAAACTGTAATCGGGAGATTTGGGGTCATTCCAGAAGGCTTGGAAAACGTTATTGAATAGAGGGGGCCGGGCCGGCCGCATAAAATCTCGAGCCACGGATTCAAAGTTAAACGTTACAAACAGCCCCTGCTTTTTGAAAAAAATTAAAAAGGGCACAATATTTTGGATGTCTTTCAAATAGAAGCTATATACTAAACAGTCAAATTTTAAATTAACGGTAGGGCCGCTTCACAACTCTTATTTTGCCCTTCATTTGGATTCAGCTCATACCAACTCGCTTGTGCTTATATTTGAACTCATGTTGGTAGTGATAATGGACAGCGGCGGCGATCCTGGGCCCGATAGAGGGACACGTCCCCCCGGAAATTTAGATATTTAGCTAGAAAGAAATATACATGTGGCGGAAAGAACGTACATATTGGACTAAAGGATTTTCTAGAATGCATAATTTTAGCATTCTACATTGCAAAATCTCGCTTGGTCGCTACGCCCCGGCCCTCGCCCGATAACACAAAACTAAGATATGACGCTCCCGGTTGCGATTATTTCATGGTTGGTGTATAAATAGATCTTTTTTTTCCCCTTTCATTTCTACTGACCTTATTGTATGCTATCACAATCATGTTTGTTTCATTTTCCCTTTAAAGCATGCGTAGCTAGGGGCGGTAGGGGCAGTAAGAGGACATAGGACGAAAAAAAGGGGCAGACAAAGAAACATTTTTGACAAGTCTAAAACGGTACAACAAATCATCTTCTTTCTCTAATAATTTAATGAAACATTAAGCTTCTGCGCTTTGCGCTGGAGGGGGAAACTGAATTCAGAGACAGATTAAGAGTCGGGAATGGAACAACGAATTATTTTCTTTCTCTAATAATTTCATTAAACTATGAAAGGTCTAAGCTTCCGCGCCTCGCGCGGAAGGGGGAAAATGAATTCGAACAAGGATTAAGAATCGAGAATGGGACAACGAATCATCTTCTTTCTCTAATAATTTAATGAAGCGTCAGAAGCTTACTTGCGCGGGAGGAGGAAAACTGAATTCAGACAAGGATTTAGAGTCGAGAATGGAACAACGAATCATCTTCTTTCTCTAATAATCAGGGCTCAAATTAATTTTTTGTCCACGGGGGCTCTTCCCCCCCCCCCCCCCAAAAGAGCCCCCTGAGCCTTCTCACGGGGGCTCTTTTAGTGCTGACGGGGGCTCTTATTTTAATACAAATTTACATTGAATTGGTAACAATGAAACTCCTGAATTCCTTGGTATTTAATCATTATCATTTATTTAAGTCGGCATTTTCCCTCTTAGAAATTTACTTGTTACATAGCTGTATACTTTATCCCCGTGATCAGTGGCGGATCCAGGGGGAAAAAAGAAAGGAAAAAAAAAGGGGGGGGGGAAAGATTTTTTTTTTTTTTGCTGTTGAAAAAAAAGTGTTCCCATCCCACTTGTATCACAGAGAAACAACAGTTTAAGTTAAGTCTAACGTTAACGTTAAATTTGTTATTAAAATGTAGAGTACAGCCCTTGGCCTTAGGCCTAATTTAGGTCGTAACTGTTACTGTTTGAAAATCTAAAGTAAAATTAGACGGTTTTCATGGTTATAGACCTAGTAAGTGAGAAAAAAAAAGTTTACCCGTCACTGAGACTAGGTCAATCAATCTTTTAGATCCATTTTTAGGGTCTAACGTTAGTAGATATAATGTAGATACAGGCGCGGATCCAGCGGGGGTGAGCGGGCCTTGCCCCCCCCCCCTTTCCGCAAAAGAGAGAGAGAGAGAGAGAGAGAGAGAGAGAGAAGGAAAAGAAGGGAAAGGGAAAGAGCAGAGAAAGGGAAAGAAAGAAGATGAAGAAGAAAAGAAAAGGGGGAAGAAGGAGATCGGGGGGGGGGGGAGTACGAAATGGTCTTGCCTCCCAGGCTGTTGCCTCCCCGCCCCCGCTAAAAAAAAGAGAGAGAAGGAAGGGAAATGAAAAAAGGAGAGCTAAAAGGGACCAAAAAAGAGGAAGAAGAAAAAAAAGGGTGAAAAGAATTTCGATGCGGTGTTCGAGTAGAATTCTGTAAGATGATGATATACTTTCTCGTAGCTTGATGTGACGAGATGTCTCTATCCAGATATCTGTTGATAGTATTATAGAATATAGAAGCCTGAAATGACCTTCTGCTCGTAACCGACAAGTCACCGCATTAAAATTAAATTGCAAATAGTGTTCAACAACACGATGGTGAATGAAACTTTCTAATATTCGAAGATATATGACCTTCAGACCATATTGTTTCATTATTTTTTATTCAATCAATCAACGTCAAAGAATTGATTTATCATCGCTCTTCAATTTATTATTTCACCTTTTAATGTACTTTCATTCTTATGAATCACGAAAGAACACTGAATTGCATTCTTCAATGTTTGTTTTGATTAATTTCCTCCCCTTTCCTTCTCCCTGTTTAATACTGATAAAATTTCAATTTTTCTTAATCAAGGCAAAATATTATTTTCATATTTTCTTTATGCAAGACAGGAAGAGAGAGAGAGAGAGAGAGAGAATATGTTAAGTGAGAATTATCGAGTACAACTATGAATTGCATTCTTTTCAATATTATCCAATTCGCTGAAAATATTCAGAATATGAATATGATAAATCCTCAAAATACACCAACGCTGTTCAACGCATCCAACGCTCCAACCATAGCCCATACGCCAATGCACCATATTTCTCAATATGAAAAGATTTTTAAATGAAATTTGAAGAAAAATCAAATTTACAATGCACTGACAGGCATCAGTTGAAATCATGAATTCTCTGTGACTGGCTTAGCACTAGTTTCTGAGGGACCAGTCACTAAAGAGGAAATAAAGAGAAGGAAAATTGAGAAAGAAGTAAATAAAAGAAAGGGGATATCAGTTGCAATTTTCCCGCCAACAAGTTGCGGATCGGGATGGGGGTGGGGCAAAAGGCCTTTGCCTCTCCCCGCCCCCGCTAAAAAAAAGAGAGAGAGAGAAGGAAGGAAAAGGAAAAAGAGGAGAGCTAAAAGGGACCAAAAAAGAGGAAGAAGAAAAAAAAGGGTGAAAAGAATTTCGATGCGGTGTTCGAGTAGAATTCTGTAAGATGATGATATACTTTCTCGTAGCTTGATGTGACGAGGTGTCTCTATCCAGATATCTGTTGATAGTATTATAGAATATAGAAGCCTGAAATGACCTTCTGCTCGTAACCGACAAGTCACCGCATTAACATTAAATTGCAAATAGTGTTCAACAACACGATGGTGAATGAAACTTTCTAATATTCGAAGATATATGACCTTCAGACCATATTGTTTCATTATTTTTTATTCAATCAATCAACGTCAAAGAATTGATTTATCATCGCTCTTCAATTTATTATTTCACCTTTTAATGTACTTTCATTCTTATGAATCACGAAAGAACACTGAATTGCATTCTTCAATGTTTGTTTTGATTAATTTCCTCCCCTTTCCTTTTCTCTGTTTAATACTGATAAAATTTCAATTTTTCTTAATCAAGGCAAAATATTATTTTCATATTTTCTTTATGCAAGACAGGAAGAGAGAGAGAGAGAGAGAGAGAGAATATGTTAAGTGAGAATTATCGAGTACAACTATGAATTGCATCCTTTTCAATATTATCCAATTCGCTGAAAATATTCAGAATATGAATATGATAAATCCTCAAAATACACCAACGCTGTTCAACGCATCCAACGCTCCAACCATAGCCCATACGCCAATGCACCATATTTCTCAATATGAAAAGATTTTTAAATGAAATTTGAAGAAAAATCAAATTTACAATGCACTGACAGGCATCAGTTGAAATCATGAATTCTCTGTGACTGGCTTAGCACTAGTTTCTGAGGGACCAGTCACTAAAGAGGAAATAAAGGGAAGGAAAATTGAGAAAGAAGTAAATAAAAGAAAGGGGATATCAGTTGCAATTTTCCCGCCAACAAGTTGCGGATCGGGATGGGGGTGGGGCAAAAGGCCTTTGCCTCTCCCCGCCCCCGCTAAAAAAAGAGAGAGAGAGAGAAGGAAGGAAAAGGAAAAAGAGGAGAGCTAAAAGGGACCAAAAAGAGGAAGAAGAAAAAAAAGGGTGAAAAGAATTTCGATGCGGTGTTCGAGTAGAATTCTGTAAGATGATGATATACTTTCTCGTAGCT